GTACCGGCCCATCGGGATTCAATGGCCAGTCCGCCACTGTCATCAAACAACAACAACAACAACAACAACATGGCAGAGATAATAAATGAGGACCTGCAGAGGTTCTCGTCCGGCCGACACGAAGCTGACGCTCACAGTGACCTCATGTTGATCCTCCTGAATCACAGCCGAGACCATCTGACGAGGACAGGTGAGAAAAGGACAGGAGAGAGGAGGACAGGTGAGAGAATATCTTAAATTATCAGAATTATGACTTTTTCAGACATTTCTCAGGATTTTTTTTCTCAAAATGTTAAAAAACTTTTTTTTCTCTACATTACATTTTTTTTGACTAATTTGCTCAAAATCTAAAATATTTTCTGAAGACATCAGAGTCTGCAGTCAGTCTGCAGTCAGTCTGCTGTCAGTCTGCAGTCAGTCTGCAGTCAGTCTGCAGTCTGCTGTCAGTCTGCAGTCAGTCTGCAGTCTGCAGTCAGTCTGCAGTCAGTCTGCAGTCAGTCTGCAGTCAGTCTGCAGTCAGTCTGCAGTCAGTCTGCAGTCAGTCTGCAGTCAGTCTGCAGTCTGATGTCTGTTTTGCATTTGATGAATCAAGTCTCTCAGTTTGTTCAACTTTGCTCTTAAAGGATGATCTTCCTCGTCGTCGGGTTCAAGATTCACCAACTATATTTCACATGACTTAGTACCGGCCCATCGGGATTCAATGGCCAGTCCGCCACTGTCATCAAACAACAACAACAACAACAACAACAACAACAACAACAACAACAACAACATGGCAGAGATAATAAATGAGGACCTGCAGAGGTTCCCGTCCGGCCGACACGAAGCTGACGCTCACAGTGACCTCATGTTGATCCTCCTGAATCACAGCCGAGACCATCTGAGGAGGACAGGTGAGAGGAGAGAGGAGGACAGGTGAGAGAAGGACAGGTGAGAGGAGAGAGGAGGAGAGGAGGACAGGTGAGAGGAGAGAGGAGGAGAGGAGGACAGGTGAGAGAAGAGAGGAGGAGAGGAGGACAGGTGAGAGGAGGAGAGGAGGACAGGTGAGAGAAGAGAGGAGGAGAGGAGGACAGGTGAGAGGAGAGAGGAGGAGAGGAGGACAGGTGAGAGAAGAGAGGAGGAGAGGAGGACAGGTGAGAGAAGGACATGTGAGAGAAGGACAGGTCAGAGGAGAGAGGAGGACAGGTGAGAGGAGGACAGGTGAGAGGAGAACAGGTGAGAGGAGGACAGGTGAGAGGAGAGAGGAGGACAGGTGAGAGGAGGACAGGTGAGAGGAGAGAGGAGGACAGGTGAGAGGAGGACAGGTGAGAGGAGAGAGGAGGACAGGTGAGAGGAGGACAGGTGAGAGGAGGACAGGTGAGAGGAGGACAGGTGAGAGAAG